CGGCCAGTTGAAGCTGTGCTGTCTGCTCCGCCCCTAGTTGGCTAGGTTTCCTGGACGGACGTGGGAGCTGTGGAGGGGGAAACCGCAGGCCCACACTAGGGCCTAGCACTTCCCCTGCTTCAGCGCTGCCTTACGTGCCTTGTGAGCTGAGGCTGGAAGGCATAGGATAAGGTGGCTGGGCTTGACTCCAGGGACTCTTCTTCAGGATGTACCCTCACTGCCTAATGATTTTTTCTCTCAGGAGCCCTACGTCTCTCATCTCCCTCTGTCCAGAGTAGCCAATTAGTCTGATCACATCAGCCTTGTGGTCATTCTCCAGGACCAAGTGCACATTCTTCCACGTATTTAAAAAGGTCTTGAGGAGCTGGAGAGATGGCTCGTCAGTTAAGAGCACTGACTATTCTTCCAGAGGTCCTGAGTTCAATTCCCAGCAACCACATGGCTGCCCACAACTGTAACTCCTGTTCCAGGGGATTCGACACCTTAACTTACACAGAGAAAACATCAATACACTTAAGATAAAACTTTAAAAAAATTTCTTTTATCACCCCGGACACAGACACAGTCAGCTTGGAGTGTTTTTGTTTGTTTGTTTGTTGTTGGGTTTCTTTGTATTTTTTTTAAGACAGGGTTTCTCTGTGTAGCCTTGGGGGCTGTCCTGGAACTTGCTCTTGTAGACCAGGCTGGCCTCGAACTCACAAGAGATCTGCCTGCCTCTGCCTCCTGAATGCAGTGATTTAATGTGTGTGACAACACTGGCAGCTCTGAGTGTTTTAACTTTTCTATAACTTCTGGTAAGTGCAAAAAGTCAAATATATTGACCATTATGGTTTCATGTTCAGTATAAACACCTGGATGCCAGACTGGCCTGCACAGTGAGACACTGTCACAAATAAATAATCCTGTAGATCTACCCCTTTAAAACTCTATCACTCTTTGTAAATATTTATTTTTATTTTTGTATCTCTCTGTCTCTCCTCTCTCTCTCTCTCTCTCTCTCTCTCTCTCTC